GGGGGAGAGGGTTGCAAACACATGTCCAGCGGCAATAAAAATTCTAAAAAAAATGAGAGAGACAGGGGGTTTGTGTATGTTTGTGGCAGAGAAAGAAAGACAGAATCGGGACTATAGCCTACTGTAAATATTTAAAGGAAGTAGAAATCACTTATCAAGGCTTATACCGCACAGAGAGAGGGGGGGGGGGAGAATCGGGGCAATAAAGTAATTATATAAGTGGAATAAGGATATATTCATACCATAATAATATTCACAGTATTTCCCTGTTGTCAAAGGCTGACAAACACAGTATCCGTATCCGCTATCACTGTTATAACACGTGCCCCCGTTCTGACACCAGATGGAGGCACAGTAGTTGGGATATTTGGTGGGTGCTGGATAAAAAAATATTTGACATAAGATTGCATCCGTTATTGTAACAATTGAAGCAATTGGGAAAGAAAACATATTACATGTTAGGGCCTACTAACAGAAGTTTATGTCCATCAGTTTTGATACTTGTTGTTCAAACGGAACTTTTTAAACATATAAAATATAAACTATAAAAGATCTGTTAGGGCAGAAAAATTTCTATTGCACTGTTTAAATAAAACTTACCCGTCGTTTCTGCGTAGTTGGCTGAGGCTTGGATTAATATAATATAATATAATATAATATAATATAATATAATATAATATAATATAATATATATATAGGCTTATTGCAACAAATACGCAATAGAAATGGCGATTGTGCATATGAAATTTATAAATACTTTTCGAATTATGTAAACAATGCATGCTATTTATACATTCAAAAAACAAGGTGAAAATACACTGTCAAGACTCAAGCAGATTAATATCAGAGAGATAGACACCTCTTGTGAAAGTTGTGTGAGCTAGTGGAAAAGAGATAAAGCAAAGGTGAAAGAGGGAGAATAAGAGTCGGGGGGCAGGGGGAGGAAAGAAAAGGTAGTCAGAACCGGGATAAAAGTAAGTGGAATAAGAAACATATTCTTACTGTAATAATATTCACAGTATTTCCCTGTGGTCAAAGGCTGACAAACACAGTATCCGTATCCGCTATCACTGTTATAACACGTGCCCCCATTCTGACACCGGATGGAGGCACAGTAGTTAGGATATTTGGTGGGTGCTGGATAAAAAAAAAATGGGACTTCAGATAGTATCCGTTACTGCAACAACTGTAGCAACTGGGAAAGAAAACATTTTTCACGTTTGGGCCTACTAATACAAGTTTTCATCCATCAATTTGGATGTTTGTTGTTCAAAAGGAACATTTTTACAAATGAAAAAGAAACCACATAAAACGATCCGTTAGAGTAGAGTAATTGCATTGCATTGTTTAAACAGAACTTACCCGTACTCCAGGTCGTCGTCTCTGCGTAGTTGATTGAGGCTTGAATATAATATAATATAATATAATATAATATAATATAATATAATATAATATAATATAATATAATATAATATAAGTATAAAATGGCGATTGTGCATATAAAATACAGAAATACTTTTCAAACTATGTAAACAACAGTGAAGTCCTTAACAATGCATGCTGTAATATAATCAAAAGTGAAGGTGAAAATACTGTCAGGACAAATAAATTATTATTTAAAAAATGAAAACAAAGAGACGAAAAAGTATGTATAAATGTGTTTCAGAGAAGCTTTCTTATTTGGCTTCAAAATAAACAATTTTGTACAGGCGCAAATTAAGAAGTAACAAAATCGTTCAATGACGTCACATCGAAACAGAATTTATTAATTTTTTTAAATTTCTATTTATTAACTCCTTTCTCTTGATATTATTTAGTACAGTGTAGTAGTTAAAGTAGTTTCCCGCCGTTTTCTTCTTATTATTATCATTAATAATAATAATAATAAATAATCTATTATCACTATTTGGTAAGCTTATTGTATCGGGAACACTTCACCTACTGAATCTACCTCTATTTTCACACAATCTCCCGTTATAAGGTATCTGACATATGCAATAGGCATATCCCGAGTCTGTCACTTGACATGAGCCCCCGTTTCTGCACTGAATGCCACCACAGATCGCCGGGGACAGCGTCGCCACTGTCGTCTCTTTGGGTTTGTCTATATCGAAATGGAAGGGAAGAAGGGTTATTTAGATAACACCGTCAAGAGTTTAATGAAACGTTTGAAATACTTGGTAGTGCCTGTACTGATATGAGGAGGGGGTGTTATTCAAATCATATTTTCAAGATCCGATCGGAAGTTGACGATCGACCTCCTTGCCCTTAATAGCCCCTGTGATATTTTTTAGTGTTTATTAAATAAATATATGTTAAAAAGGAAGGGGTAAAATGGAGCAATAACATTTTGATTTTTTGGCAAAAGTTAAAGACGGGTCTGAAGGGGAAAAGACTAAGAAAGGAGCTACATACCGATTTTATATTCGCAGTACTTTCCACTCGTGAATGGTTGGCACACGCAATACCAGAACCCGCTGTCACTGTTCATACAGGACCCGCCATTTTGACACCGGATGCGTGCACAATAGTTCGGATACGTTGTCCTCCTGCCTGTGGATAAAAAAGACTTGTTTAACTTCAAACTTATGCTGTCATATTACCCCAATTACTAATATTACCTTGTAATGGTTTACAGTTAGGTCTGTCGTAACGAGAAATTTTTTTACTTGCGCAATTTTTGGCGCGTCGAAAGTAGTTTCGAACGACGCTGTTGTCGATTCTGATAAATTTGTGAAATAAGTCCCTGTCCTTTCTTTGTGGTAAACAAACCACTCTACTTACAGTTGAAAATGATTGTTGGGAGTATTCTCACCAGAACTTGTGTTTCCTATAAAAAACTTTGATAGCCCTGAAACTACTGACACCGGTACTCTTTAATTTGAAAACAATGAAGTTGCTTCTGAAACGAAATTCTGAACATTCTAGAACCCCCAGCATCATGAAAACAAATAGAATAAAAGAATATATAAAAGTAATAAATAAAAATAACATGATTACTATTATATTTTAATGAACTCGTTTTCACTTCAATCGAAAACTTTTAATATAGGTAAATATGCGCGTTCTCTTACCTGACGGAGTCGTGGTAGACATGGAGTATTGACAGTATGTACCGGTGTAACCGCCTTTACAGACACAGGTTGCATAACTTTCCCAACGCCGAACGCATGTCCCTCCGTTATAGCATGTTAACTTGGAGCATGGGTCTATAAAGGAATGAAATAATAGTTATTATTATAAAATAAAGCGTATGTTTTCAAAAGAATATCATGATAGATGTTGTTCAAGTGCTGCTGTTTCAAATGTTACAAGTAAACTAGTCCCTTGACATAATTGACAGTGGCAGGCACACTGCATTGATCTAGACACTCCTACTTCATTGGTCATCCCAAGCCCTTCCTTCTGATAACAGGGCCCTGAATTCTCAGGTCACCCTTGCCACTAACTCCCTCTGCCCTTCGATCCCCGGGAGAAAGCCAGATGTTATACAGATAGCCTATATTTTGATCGTGAAGAATGGTTCAGGATTTATTAGGATTGATAGGGCAGGTTTAATAAATAAGTCGAACTTTAGCAAAAGAAAAAAAATGGCGTTTATATTTAGACAAAAAACCTAAGTTTATTTTGACCCAAGACAAATCAGAAGCAGTCCGCGTGTACACGGTAAAACACAAAACAGAATTTTTTCAAAGCAGATCGAGAGATTGATGACAATGTGCGTTGATATTATTTTCATAATTGATATACATCAAATCATTTAAATAACAATGCTATTACTTTAAAAATGATCGAATGACGTAGCAGTAAAGAGAGAATACAGTGACGAGGAATAACGAAATGATAGCATAGATACGCCAATAAGCATTCGTTTTTACGGATGAAAAGTGCAATAATACCTCGGGGTATCGAAAGCGTGAGGAAGAGTGTTTCAAAGGAACATTCCCCACCAAAAGTTCGCCTCCTTTACAATTCTTCGTTTGAACAAATAATCTACAGCCTAGGTTTGAACTAGCAATCCTGCTTGCTTTGAATCTGAGAGGTCTGTATATTGTTTGTAGGTCGAAGTGAAAACACTTTTTTTAAGTGATGGCGAATTTTGGCGCTCACTGATTGGTCCAAAGGCAATCACGTATAAATTTTAGTGAGTTGATCACTTGGTCAAATCATCTACCTATTTTGGTTCTGCATGAACCAGAAACGTCATCAGTATAAGTCCTCCATGTGTGTTAATTATTTTCAATTATCTAAATAATTCGTGATCATGTAACAAAGCAGTTATCACATTTGTGTTTCAGTCACTTTTTAGCTAGGTTTAACATTCATCTGTGCTAAAACAACCATGCCAAAGTCAAAACTTGTATATATAGTTGCACGCAAGTCTCTTAGCAAAAAATTACACTGATATTTCCAAAACTTACCGCTAACTGTAGCATTTGACTGTGACCAGCAGGACCCAATTCCAGCAAGCACTAAAACAGTGAGATACCAGTTCCTTGCCATCTTTATTACACAATAACTTGGTGACACTTCCTTGTGGTTATATACTGTGTATAAGGAATTATCGAGGTGCGTCTTTCTTATCACATCACTTGACATATGGAATAGTTTACACCTACCCTGAGAATCCAACCAAAGTTTTAAGTATTGGCATTAAAAGGGATTTGCAATTTGCAAATAACACCCTGTTCTGGTAATTTCGTCCATTTTTTATCTTTTAATTATTTCGTCAGCCTTTCGTTCGCCATCTTCTGCCAACCTTACTGCGGCTACAGCATTCAGTTGGTGTATTCTGTAGTACAGTCCTTGAGTACACATACACACCGAAATCTTGGGTGTTTTTACATTCTGTACCTTTAAAAGTTGGTGTTTATTAACGAAAATTAGACTTAATTTGTAAAACTATAAAAGTCAAGATGGTAATTAAGATAACATATTACAGCATTTTAGTAGTAATCAACATATCCGTCACATGAAGCAATCCTAGCGCCGTGGGTACAAGATATTGCGCAATATTTGAGACGTGCATTGAACTCTATCTATTAAACAATCCAGCTTATAGGCTGACATATGAACAGGCAAAATTTTCATAGGGTAAGCCCATGAAAGTGAAGAATAATACAGCAATTGCCACATTGTAGGCCTTGACACTCAGTACTAGACTGTCAATACGGGGACGAACTTGTTGGAAAAAATACAGGTATTATAAAAATATCCAGTGTGGCTGCTTTTGTAATTTGAGCTTTATTTTAGAGAGATCGATATATATGTTAAGATTTTTTTGCTTATTCTCTTATATAATGTGGATTAAATATTGCCATGTTATGAAATGAAGTTTTCGCACCAAACGTAAATCAGATAACGTTGCCAATTCGAGGAGGTGGCTACTTTTGGGGTGGTTTTTGGAAGTGAAAAATATCACTTTCAAACAGATTTCCCTCATCTGATCAGCTAACAATACCGTTTTAGAGTATGCTCGATCACAACAATAAATACAACAATCTGGTGCCAGTGAATTTACTCGCATGGTTTACTTTAGCAAAATTTATTCAGTAAAGAGTCAAAAATATCTTTTTACAATGGAACATCGTAATTAGAGGCTCGTGTTTCCTTTACAGACAATTTTAATCAAATGCTGGCAAAGATTGTGGATCCCACCCTATTCGTAAACCGTTCCATTGTTCATTATATTATCATATTTAATTACGAAGTCACTATCTCACAGCAATTTACTAATTAGCGATTATCGCTGTCAACCTTCAGCGTTAAAGTCAGGGGCAAATCCAGAGTTATTTTCTGACAGTCTTCCAAATTATCTTTGTTGATCCATCCTCCATTTTTTACCGTCTTCCGACGGAAAAAATTAGATACCCGTCAATGTAAACTTGAAAATCTCACCGTCTTCCGGAAGACCCAGTTCACGCCCTAAATTCTCCCCTGCTAAAGTTAGTGAGTCTAGTCAAGGGTGGTGAGCAAAGCAGCAAAAAGAGATTGTGCTCTGCAAGTTGTTATTTATGTTATTGCAATAATATCAAGATATGTATTTCACATTAAAAAACGCAGAAAACCTGTGTTTGGGTCCTACGGATCATTATTGTACGTTTGTAAATAATAAGTAACACGTTTGCTTTAATGCTGTTATCAAGAGAAGTGCGCTGAGACGCTCAAGACCGCGGCTGAGTCAGAGGGTGGCTATAGGTATATGGCCAGACGCATAGTGTTTGGACGTAAAAAAGAAACAACTCACACAGTGGTCAATTGAATCAGCCATTTACTGTCCTTTTTTAGTGCAAGAGATCGGTGCTTTTACTTTTGACTGCATTTCTTTTTAAGACACACAGATAATATGCTGAGCAGAAATTGTCGGCATATTAAACATGTTATTTTGATCTTCACGTTCAAAATGGTTATAGAAATGTTACATATCCGTTTGTGTTGCTGCCATTTGGGATTCAAGACGTCTGGATCAGTGAATGACGTCATACTTCTGATATGGGCGACCTATTTGCCAATTAGTGGACCAGATCCGTTCTGGGACAAAACTTGAAAACCTACGAAATGAAAAGTAATAATATAAAATGTTTTATAATTATACATAGTTGGCATTTAATATGGAATATTTTCTTAGCCTTTTTCTATTATTTGCTTTTGTTTTTCTGATTACTGTAAATAAACTTCTAGTTACTATGATATCCGTTCCTTAAATGAATTCATCAATAGTGCATTAGGAAAATGCACTATATAAAAATACAGTTCTTTCCGCCAGGACAATTCTTAAAACCAGAGATCAAGCCCCTGCGATAATTTATTCGTCCAGGAAGTCCGGACAATTTTAAGGTGATATTCTTTTAAACATCTTTATTCTCAAGAGGGTTAAACATTGATACAGTATAAATGAAGGTGGCAATTCGCCTAGGCATTGTATGCTCACCTTTGAAATTTAATAATAATAATAATAATAATATTCAAGGAAAAGACAGTGACGAGGACATGAGTGGCATTAGAGGGGAGTGAGGAACAGGGCATGGGGGAAAGGTAATTAT